GCGAGCATATCTACCCCTCACACACCCACGCGGCATTCTAGATACCAACCGCCCTCCCGTTTGACGCGCCACCTGCCCAGCCATCTCCTGTAAATGGATGGAGCCGGCGAGCTTTGAAACTGGAGACCCGTCTTCGTCGCCAGCCCGAGATGGGCCAACCCCCGCCACCGTCACTGTGGTCCCACCCTACTGGCAATCCCACCAGCGCAATGCCTCGTATCTGAGCAACTACTCTGCTGACAACGGCCGCCCCACCCCCATCGGCCTCGAGGACCATACGGATGAGGACTCGGACCACTGCAAAGTCCTCTGGGCCAAGGGTGTCACGATAGATGATTACGTTGTCATCAGCGGGCCGTCACCGGGCTTTGGAGCTTACGTCGTCTTTAATTGTACGGTCGAGACACTGGATGTAAGTTCCCAGCCGCATGAAGATGCGCTAGTCTGCCCGGCGATGTCCTCGCAGCCAATCATCCGCGCGAGATTGTTTTTCAAAAAAATGGTTCCATGCAGAGGGCCCGTGGTGGACTGCCATCTCCAGGTGATGAACCATCATGCATATGCTAACTGTGACAGGGTGGTCCCATGAAGATACGCAAGAGGTTGGCCATCTTCTGTCACTTTCGATTCCCTCTGCTGATCGTACCAGATACTCCGAGTTTGAAGATCTGCACACCAAGCTGCTCCAGACGTTTCCTCATGCCGCGGGTTCCATGCCGCACTTCCCACCCAAATCCGTAATATGTAAGTCACATGGCCGCCTGCAGTATCACTCCACCAAACAATATAGTGCTAACGCGTGCGGCATAGCTCGCTTTAGGCCCCGTTTTCTGGAAAAGCGGAAACAAGGACTCTCGTACTTTCTCAAGTGTGTTTATCGATAACAAAGCTAGCGCATATCGGCTGACTATTAATAGTTGCGTTTTGCTGAACCCGGAGTTTGCTGGGTCGCCCGTCTTGAAGGACTTTCTCTTCTCGTGATCGCGTGGCTTTGAGGTTGTATTGACACTGACGTTGATGTGTGAGTGGCATAAGAGTTGGATACGCTGTTGTTGTTGATTGTGTGGTGCCAGGGTGTGCCCAGCTGCCATGCAAGTGAATCGTCCTTGACATTTTCCAATTGCTGGATCTCTCAATCTCTCAATTGCACATGCAAGGAAAGCACCTCCTATAGTCAGTTCTAGCGAAAGCGTTATGATGTTCAAGTTGATGGTGATGTCGCCCACTCGTACTGATTGGCTACCAACGTCAGTGGCGCTACGCTTCCAAGTATCTCACATGCGCTGTACTGCAATTCGTTGAATAATCTTCTGATGTACATGGCGATATCGAGATGGGAAGGTCTGCTATAGGGCTTAATCCAACCTCATCCATATTTGCAGTGTCTGGGTGAGGCGTACGGGAGCGCCGTGGGTGCAGCAGCTCGTTTGGCAAACTGCGCGGGCTCTGCCACTCGACGACCCCCTAACGGCTCGCGTTTTGGCACATCTCAGCGCGACATCAATGGCAGCTCCACAATGAATAGCTGAAAGATGACCCAGCGAATCGCGAATGATCTCAAGTCTGATCACTACCATGGCCAACGCCGTTCGGCCTTCGCTGCTGCGGAGCTCGAATGAACGGCAGACCAGGCTCAACTTCCTGCCCGTGTCGCGCGATGACGCCCACCAACAAGCCCAGCGCAACCACAACCACGCGCCCGTCGCGACAAGACGGGCCTCGAAAAGCGGCCCTCTGCTTGCGCGCGCCGACGACGACGGCGCCGTCAAGCCCGTCGCCCACACGCCTGCAAAACCGCCGCCGCCTGCGCGCACCAGCAGCAGGAAGCGGCCAGCCACTGCCCTCGAGCCCGACGCGACCGACACGAGACCGCCGACCAAGATTACCGTTACACAACCACATGGCGAGCTGCTGCGCATCACCAATGGCGTCGCCGCGCCCCTGGGCATCGACGCCGACGACGTGCCCTCTGCGAGGTCCACGCCCCGGCCTGGCAGCTCCGGCAAGCTTGCTGCGCCCCCAGCTGTCCCCGCCCCGGCGTCCACAGCGTCCTCCACCACCACAGACAAGAGGAGCCTGCGGAGCCACGATGGAGGGTCGCGGCTGAAGAGCGACCTCGCCGTCTACTTTGCCAACTACGACGACATCATTGCCGGCGTGCCCAAAGAGGATGGTAGGTCACTGTCCCTGTCACATGTCACGGTATAGCTCTGATCGCGTGCAGAATTTCTCGATGTCGACACGCCCATATACATCGTCGACGAGCCCATCAAGGCCAAGACACCAGAGCCCCCGCGGAGCTCAGTAAGCCCGACGCGGTCACGGAAAGCACGACACTCGTCCCCTCCGCGCCATGCCTCGGATCCGTCAATACTCCCGGCCCAGTCGTCGACTACATTCACAGTCCTCAACTACGCCTCCATAGCCAATGCCATCTCCCACAATGACGGCGAAGACCCGCTCGCCGACTCGGTCTTCTTCACACAGCACCGGCGTGCCGAGCGCAAGGAGAAGCAGCTGCGGAATATCGAAAAGGAGCGCGCCATGCACGAGAAGGTGCAATTAGAGAGACTCCTCGACGGACTGCAGGGCCCCGACTGGCTCAAGGTCATGGGCATAACGGGCGTGACAGACGGCGAAAGAAAGGACTGGGAGGCGAAGCGCGACTACTTTGTCCGAGAGGTAGAAGCCCTCGTTGACAAGTTCCGCGTCTGGAAAGAAGAGGAGAAACGCTTGCGTGCTGAGAAGGAAGCAGCGCTCGCCGCGAGGGAAGAAGACGAAGAAGAGGACGGCGAGGAAACAGAAGACTCAGATAACATTGTAGTCCGCAGCCGCGATCCTCCCCCACCACGGCAGCAACCCAAGGAGCCCGAGCCACCGAAACCACGGCGGCCACCACGCCCCCATGGCTTCCTCCTCCCCTTCGTACCACCCGAACCCGCAGCGCCGTTCAGTTCCTTCTACGCGAAACCACACCTCCGCGCCGCAGCCCTCGGCAAACATAGACACGGGCGCAACGCATCAGCATTCGGCCAACCCATACCCGAGTTCGCAGAAAAGGAGTTTGAACTCCCAGAAGGTTTCATAGACCCGCAGTTTCTAAAAGACAACGCGCGACAGAGACGGAGACGGAAGAGGGAGAGTGGTGTGAATACAGGGGCGGGTGCGGGTGGAAATTAGTGCTTTTCTTTCTTACAATTACAACATGGGCCGGGGTTTCCAAGATTCTATACCCCTTATAAATACCGTCGAGCAAGTCGAAAGCTAGGGTTTCTGTGGCGTTCTTTTGATAAGGGATGGAGTTTATGGGTGTGGGACTGGATGAGGGTCTCAAGCCGAGTGTATATTATCTGTGGAAATGGAATGCAAAATCGTTCCGTTCTGAGATTAGGTGTTTTGGTGCTGGTGCATGTGGTCTGTGGAGTTATCAGTGAAGAGATTGGTTTCGATTGGTTTCGATTGGTTTCGATTGGTACGTACTTCTGTCGTTTGGTGTAGTGCTGGTGCTGATCAAGTTCGTTCGGTCTTCCAACTTCCAGCCGAGGGACTCACGTGCTCGGGTTCCGTATATAAATTCTTCTTTCCTGCATGTCTCCTCTTCTTCTCTTCATCACAAAGTCTGCTGGCTTATCTCCAAAAAATCATATTACACGAGTTCATGGTTGGCTGTTCGGTCTGCCTTTCCAAAAACAAATTGAACCAGTGACATGACTTGCGGCCTAGTTCTTCTTCCTTCAAAACGACCTTCTTTTCAAAACATATCTTCACCTCTTCATGAGATTTTGTGGAACCTCCTTCTCTCCTACTTGAGAACCAACAAAAAAACCTCACCCAATTTCCATGTGGTGCTTTTTGGATCCGCTCCTTCTGCTGCTATGACAAGACGACATCACCAAAATACAGCAGAACAAGACCGCATGTCTCGTTCCTGGTCTGCGGGCTCAAAAACTCCAATACCCATGCCATGTCTCAATTCATCTTCCACAGTTGCCGAATACACATGGGTTATGCACTCGGATCGTTATGAGTAACTCATGGTTTGCCGCCTACCGAAAATACAACAGGGAAAAAGACGTGTGCTCTCGTCGCGTTTGTAGTCTGCAACCTTCAAAATGCTCAGCAGGGTTTGCGGGTATATAAACCTCTCGTCTACCTCCTGTTCTCTCTTCTTCATACCAAAGTTCCTTCTTTCCCAAATTAGCAGAAGACAAATACGATGACTGCGTGTGTTCCTCCTGCTCTCTCCAAAATAGGAGGATGAAAAAGGTCATGGCTTCCGCTGTTCCGCCCTGTTTTGCAAAATCAAAAGATATATTGGAACATTCCATGTTTCGATTTGCCTTTCACTTTGTTCTTGAATGAAAGAACTCGAGATGGCCGGCATGCTGTGTGCTGGTGCCAATCGCCCGCCACTAAAGGTCTTCCACTTTAGGAAATACACCTGCATTGAGATCACTATATAGAGTTACCGACTGCGTTTTGTTGCCCTGCTCTGCATCAACACTTCACCATAATAAAAATCTTCCACGAGTCGACCCATGTGTTGAGTCGTCCGGGTGGGCTTTTCCCACATTAAAATAGCAGAAGTAGTTTTCACGAAGATTGCTTGTACAGTTCTCGCCTCATACATTGTATTCAAAAAGTAGACATGAATTGCTCGTCGCGTCAAGCATCTTCCGCGGCGGTATTGACGGTGAACTGTGATCAGTGAAGAATGCTTGAGTGATGCATCCATGAATCCAGGTGATCGCTTCATTCGGAAAGAATCAGGTCATCTCACACTCATCAATACTAGCGCCTGAAGTTTTAGGTGTCGGTGCTGTTCGCCGGTAGAGGCGCGCCTGCCCAATGCGGAAGGGGCAAAGGTCGCCATATCCCACACTTTGAAGCACTCACCTCCCGCCACCACCACACCCACCCACACCCACACGCCAATGGGTGACCCAACACGACACCCCGAGCCCGACGGCTCACCACGAGAATATTTCTCACAGCCCGCCATGCGCGATGAATCTGCTGCTGGTGCGGCAAGTCTGACCGCCGTCTCTCGGATGAACCCATTCGCTGCACTCGCGGCATGCTCTCCAGAATTAGTCAAATACGCTAGCAAAAGTGAAGCGAAGATCACAGAGACAGTTGATCTAGAAACGCAACACGCACGACAACTCAGCGAACAGAGACGTACGCTAGAGGGTAGATGTGCAATCGCTCTCGGAGAGCAGGAGCGTGAGCTCCGACGCGAATTCGATAGCGCTCTTCAGCAGCTCAAAACCGGACATGCCAAGGCGCTTCAGAAGCAGAAGCGCCAGCTCCAACGCGAACAGGAAAGCGATCTTCAGAAACAGAAGCAGCAATCTGACGAAGAACGAGACAACGCTCTTCAGGAGCAGAAGCAGCAGCTTGAGAGCGAAAGAGACTTCGCCCTCCAGGAGCAGAAAGCTCAGCTTGAGCAGAAGCTAGAAGAGGAACTAGACTTTGCTGGGGAACTCCTCATGCGAGAGACAGAAGGTAACGACTCCATTCTGCAGAGGTTGACGAATAGGATCACAAAGGCTAGCCAGTATTTCGGCTTTGAGCTGTCAGAAGACATCGATCTTGACTGCAAGATAGAGCAGTTCGCTCTCCTAGCAAGGCTTAACACCTCCAGGATGTGTCAAGCAGCGTTTAATGAGTTGTCGCATCGTCTCAACGTTCCCCTAGAAAGGTGGCCTCCCGTTTGGGAGCTCTTTGACCAAGAGCATACCGATGAATATATGGCACTACTTACTAGCCAGGTGGACAGAATAGTCCAAGCCTGCGACGATAGAGTCGGCACAGAACAGTGCCGTACTACCAATGTCCGACGTGCATCGCTCATCTCAAAGATGAAGGTCAGTAGGACCATCACAGACCTGAGAGAGCAGATAGCAGCGAACGACAAGTTATGGGCCGAGGTGGTCTCAAGGTCAGAGGCGTGCTTAGCCGCGAAAGATCAACACATCGATGCCCTAACAGAGCGTCTCAGATTGCAGACGCAGGTGCTGGACGAGAGACACGTCCTACTGAAGCAGACTGTAGGCGCAGCCGCAGAGTCAGTAGAGTAGAGTCAAGATGTCTTGCTGATGCACTCGTGTGCGAAGAAGACCCCGTTCGTAGCTCAATTTAATAAACATTGATCCCATAGCATTCCTATCTTGCACCGCCGTGGGCTGGGAAGTCAATGTTCATGTTAGGATCACGATAGAGTGGCAGGCCGAACGGTTCTTCATGTTTCAATTGGAATGTATCCCGTCCTAGTATTTCCTCAACGGAAAAGGAACAGTCCAGATAAATTTCATCAAAGACCCAGCCCAACTCCATCCAGCAAAGACTGCTTAGTATCGCCCAACGCCTCATTCCCACAACCAGCATCATTCCATCGTAAATTCATGCAGGCCCCCTCAGCCTAACAGTCCCCCCTCTCATCTCCTCATCCGCACCCTCATCATCATCCTCGCCCTCGCCTTCCACATCCTGTAAGCGCATCGCCCGCAGCAGGTCCCTACTAGCCCTCGTGCCATCCCTCAACTCCACCGCACTCTTCAGCAGCATATCAGCCATAACCCTTGCATCCATGTCCACGCCCAACAGCGCCTCAACTTCAGGGCCAGTCGGGACGGGGAAATCGACGAGCGGCTTCCCGTTCGGACCTACGCTGACGGTGGTGGACTTGCGGCTGTAGCGCGGGGCGTCTTGCTGATCAAAGTCTGAGGAGGAAGAGTAGGTGTTGCCGTGGTGGTACGAGTCGTCGGTGTCGGAATCGAGGGTATACGTGGTAGAAGTGAGGGTTGTGGATGTAGAGTCTGTTCTGCGCGAGGAACGGAGGGGGGCGGAAGCTTGGCCCATTGGACGACGTTGTGCGGCGAGGTTGAGGCGCTCGAATGTGTCCCAGAGGTCGTCTACGTCTTCTTCTTCGAGCGAGGTGTCGGTTGTCACGCTCATGGGAGGTGATTGGTCGTCGCTGCTTAGTCCGTAGGCCATGTTATGCGACCAACCGTCCCAAATGATCTGCTGAGAGCGCTGGTTTCCGCGGTGGTATTGGCCGGAGCTGGGTGCTGGTTTCGCCTGTGACTGTACCTGGCTTGCTGAGCTGACGCCTCGAGCGTGCATGCTGGGGTGGTGTGGGTCCTGGTTTGTGGGATGGCCTTGCTCATCGTATTGCTGAGGTGTTAGTAAGCCCGGTACTGCCTGGTTCGGCTCTGACTGCGACTTCATGTGGAAGGAAGCGCGGTGGTTATTTTGTGATAGCTGTACCTGGTCCTCAAGGTTGAATGGGTTATCATTCATACGGTCGATTCCCGCTGTGACGATATCAGAGCCAGACGTGGATGGGCGGTAGTCCTGCACCATGGCCATATCGAGGTCAATCATGGACGAACGAAGAGGTGATCCAGGCGCAGAGCTGATCATCTCGGGATAGTCATCAATAGGGTCAACAGGCGCTGTTTGGGCATGTCGCAGGGTTGGCCGGAAACCAGATGCGAGGATTGGTGAAGATGAGTCCGTCTTCGTGTGCTGATCGCGCCGTGGCTCCTTCGGGCTACCCATGGGAAAGGCAAAGTCTTGAGTCTTGCGGTTGTCGTCCTGCTTGGGGAACGTCCACTCTTTCGTCTCGCGCCGTCGAGAGATCCGATTTGATGCGCGATTCCTGGGCTCATTGTTGGCCTCTGCCATCGCTGCGTCGAATGTCCATTCTACTGTGCGTCGATTTGGCTTCTGAGGTTGCGCCGGAAAAGACCATTCCATTGTCTTGCGATTAGGCTGCTGTTCAGCAGGAAACGACCACTCCATCGTCTTTCGGTTTGGTTGTTCCGAGGGGAAAGACCATTCCATGGTTTTGCGATTCTCGTCATTCATGCTGGGGAAGGTCCAGTCTTTCGTGGCTCGTTTAGTCATCTCATCTTCCTCATTGAAAGCATCCCGGCGCTCCTCTTCTTCCTCCATCTCACGTATGATGCTCTTCATGCGGTTCGCGCGGATGGTCGGCACCTCACCCAGATCGATACTGGGTATCTCATCTGCTGATGGCATCGAAAAGTCCAGGTCAATGACGGTCTCGCGGTTGGGCGCGCCAGGATTGAAGTCGCGGAGAACCAAATCGGAGGGTGGGCGGCCATTCGGAGGATCTGGCATATCGACTGCGCTGTACCGGTACGGTGTCGTGTTCGTATCGAATAGCTTGTTCAGACGTTTCTGTCCTCGGACGATAGACTCCTCCTTGAACCTAGCCTGGAGCTGTTCGAATCGTCCCATATCTGCTATAGGTGGTAGACCCATTCCGTTGAAACCCTGTCCGGCCCCACCCGCAAAAGGATCGCCAAATTGTGGTGCATGTTCCTGCTCGAATTCTTCTGATACGTTGAAAGACCAGTCATCATCGTCGTCGTCTTCCGCCTCTGGGGCAAGCGGGTCTGGTGCTTGAGCACCGTATGGATTGAAGAGCGACTGTCGTGCACCGCCCTGTTGCTCCCATACGTAATAGTCCTCAACCAACTTGACGAGCGACACAGTCGGATACATCTTGGTAGTGTCAGCAAGATATGGGTGCTCCAGGATCTGATCGGGTGTTGGTCGATCTTGCGGCTCTGGCTGGAAGACAAAAGCTAGGAAATCCTTTAGTTCTTGGGAAAAGCGATCACCTTCGAGCACAGGAACACCAGCCGTTGGCAAGTCGAACTGCCCAATCTTGTGATGAGGTGGATAACCGCAAGCCATCTCATAGACAGTGCAAGCGTAGGCCCAGATATCAACCTCGTTTCCGTAGGATATCTCCTTGGGCTGCATTAAGCTGTGCGGGTCCGCATCCTTTACCCATTCCTTTTGCAGTTCAGGCGCCATCCAAAAAGGTGTACCGACGATAGTCGAGCGCTTCGATCTTTCTGGTTCCAGGGTGTTGGAGACACCGAAGTCGCAAAGCTGCACCCGGCCGTCTTCGAGGATAAGAACGTTATTGGCTGGATTTGGTCAGCAAGAACTGAGGACAGTAAGACCAGCACTACTCACACTTCAAATCTCGATGTAGCACACCAGCTTCATGGATGTACTTGAGACCTTGCGCCAGTTCACGTGCAATGGGTATGATGAATTTCTCCGCCAGTCCAGGTCCAGGGTCCTTGGTCATAGCCGTAGGCTTCATCAACGTGTTGACACTACCACCACTGGCATACTCGCTGACAATCCAGAGTTCGTTATGGACAGGCCTGGCCTCCTCGATGATGTTGACGTAGGGTCTTGCCTTGCTATCTCTGAGTTGCTGCAGGATATCAATCTCCTTAAGTGTGTCCTGGAGGTTCTTGTGTGTCATCTCCTCGTAGTCAACCTTATCGATCTCGATGATCTTGATGGCAACGAGCGCGCCGGTATTTCGACTCTTTCTTTGTAGTGTCAGCGAGTGTTCTGGGGTTCGCTGCATGATACCCACCCTTTGTAGACGCGGCCATATGCACCCTTGCCAATAAGCTCGTAGAAGTCGTATGGCGGTGGTTCCTCACCACCCCGCTTGGCTCTCTCTGCAACCAGGAGCTCCATATCCTTTGCCTGTTGCATAGCACGCCCCTTGGTGCCACCCATCATGGGCGGCTGCAGTCGTGCAGGTTCCATGTCTCTGAGATATCTGTATACTTTGTCGAGGTGAAGCCGTTCGGTTGGGGCGTCTTCTTGCGGCTCGAAGGGCGACTCTGCTATGCGCTCCAACGGACTGTCCACTAGGGTGCCGGTTGTGCTCTCGAAGCTGGTTGCGATTGGTAGAGGCGGGGGCGGGCGATCAGATTGGCGTGGACGCCGACCGGGCGATATGTAATTGGTGGGGTCGGAAGCAGAGTATGAGTGTCGCGCGGTAGAATTCGGGCGGCCAGGCTTGATGGTGCCGGGACTGGATCGTGATAGAGGTCGTCGCGGGACAGGCGTTTCCGGGAGGGCAATGGCAAGCCTTGGCTTCGGCGTAGGCGGGCACAGCGGGCTTCTGTGGTCTAATATCGGACTCGAGATATCGCGCTTGTCGATGGAAGGGGTGCGAGAGGAGCGGGAGGACCGGGATGAATTGGCTATCTTCCCTTTGATTGAGTCTGTCAGCTTGGAAATCGAGAAGGAGCGACTGGATCGTGGCGCCGGTGTGCTGTCCAGTGAGCGAGGCGGGGTCACCTCTCCCATAGGGATGAGATGGTCGCCGTCGCTCACCGACCGCTTCAATTTGAACACCGCTTCGTCGCCGAGCATGGCGTTGTGGTGTTATTGCGGCATGTTGGTGTTTGGGAGACAAATCGCACTCACAGTTTTGTTATGACGTTCCACGTTGTTTACCACAGGTGAATGCGGCTCATGGCGGGCAGGGTCGCGTGCGGTGAGCGTGCGTGTTCGTTCACATTCACAGCTCCACACTCCGGAGGTTTGGAGGGCCTATCAGCCAGATACGATCACAATTCAAAGTAGCGGAGAAGATGAAAATGACTAAACAAAGCGAGACGTAGAATTGGGCTGTATAGAGAGATGGGACGGCGGTGCCATCTGGCAGACATCGAAGTGTTGACGATGCGAAACATGGATCCAGGGTCTCGACGTTTCGCGCGCGGGTCACGCTAAGGCAACCTTAATTCCATCTGGGGCAAGCGCGCCCCACGTTCCCGTGCCTGACATCATCTGCGCCACATGTGCGGCAGGCATAGCAGCTTGCCAACTTTCTGTGCATCAAAAGAGATTGGGTCGAGATGCTCCGTAGATATCTCCATACATACTCAATATCCGATCTAAGACCTGATTAGACTCAATACACTTGATACAACCCGAGCAACCTTAACAAAAGCACTGAATCAACGTCTCACCATGGTCGCGCAACCCATTGGCACCAAGAAGACGCCCGTCACGTCGACGGCGAAGAAGACACCAGTAACAGCCCCAGTCAAGAAAGCACCTGTCAAGGCGCCAGCCGTTCAGCCTCCCAAGAAGCCTGTCAACACCGCCATGCAGAAGAAGCCCGTGACCACGGCCCCTAAGAAGCCCGTCACAAATGTCGCAGCGAAGAAGCCCGTCACAGCTGTCGGTCAAAAGAAAGCTGTACCAGCACCAGCAA